TTGCTGTAGTTTGTTTTTTAGTTGTTCGAAAATACTTCTTAGTGTTTCCTATTAATGTAAGCATTCCTTGAAATCAGTACACTAAGTAGCGTGCTAGTCATGCACTCCTAGTGTCGATTTTAAAACACACTATGCATTAAAACCTCTGACTTCATATTTTTAACCGCTCATAACTTTTTCCAGAGAACATCCTAGATGCGGGATAGATTTGGAATCAGCTCATAAACACGTTTCTAATGATATGCAGTTCATACCAGTTCGCCACCTCAAGCTGGGATCGTTCCCTTGTAAGGCGCATCCTATTTCGCTTCGAAAACGTTATGCGTTTTAAACGCAACTGTTACGTTTTATCTACAAGAAACAGTGCCGTTTTTTTCCTACCCGAGAATGAGCGACAGCCAGCCAAGTGGTTAGCGATATGATAAATATGAGTAACAAGTATCGCGAGGCGAGGTAAAAGCAAAGCTCACGAAAGAGAAATTCTCATGAAAAGATGAACTCGGAAATTCTCCTAGTAAATGGTGGCTCAGCAGAGAGAAAGACCAGAAGAAAAGAAGACCTTTAGTGAAAACAGACCAAAAGCAATTACAGAAGAAGAGGAATAGGAATTTTCAGTAGTTCGCAAATGTCAACTTTTATAACATTCGAAGCTTTTCTTGACAATATCAAAATTTCGCGAGGCATGCGTGTAATCAGCTAGCCTCTCAAAAAAATTTGATCAGAGGCAGTAAACCGGGAATAGTGCGATTGCAAGCTTTTCACAAGCCTTTTGGATGCGATGAGTTCAGTGAGATGCTTGAATTGTCAGAAAAGTATTTTTTACTGCGTTTTCCTAGGTGGAGATAGCTGGAGAGGATGGACGAGGGATTCCGGCCACTGGCTGCGACAGCGACTGGCTGCGGGAGACTTAACTCCAATTATTTTGGCGGTAATTGGCTGATCAGCTCAGGCAGCCAATTGCGATGTTGGCAAGAATCCTCGCCCATCCCCTCTAGTCATCGCCAGAATAGGAAAACGCCGTAAAAAACATTTTTTTGAAAGTTCAAGTATAGCATTGGGGTCAGCGCATCCAAAGACCATGTAGGTGTGAAAAGCTCGCAGTTGCAATTTTTCCAGGCCACTGCCAGTAAGTTTGCATGTTTCTCCTTTATTTGTTGGTAATGCAGTTTGAAAAACCTTGTCATAAGAAACCACAAAAATCCAGTAAATGCTGAGATTCATCTTGACTTCTGCTTCAAAATTCTGGTGCAGAAGAGATATATATTTATTTTCCTGTAACACTTCCCAGCTTTCTCAAACGTTTTTAGAACTCGATGCGGAACGATAGATTGTACAGACACTCCTATTGCAATTCTAGAAAGTTGACTTCTTCAATACGTTTGATATGTTAAGATTTACTCGTATTTTGAGCAGTATTCAAGTTTAGGTAACACAAAAGGTTTGTAAAATGGTAATACTGTTGGGTTATCTGCGTGGACATTTAGAAGTATCAGAGAGGGAACCTTAGTATGTCTCGTTTAGAGACTTGTCAAAACGAAAGCCTAAATCATAGATGGAACTACGGTGCCTCAAGTCCGCATCATTCGACTTGAACGACTGCATTGGCCACCGTCAAGGTGCATAGAAGAGGATTCATTAAGGTTAATCGGTAAGCACCATGCAGAGTTACATTCTGCGAGTCTTCCAAATAATACTGCCAATGCGTATCTTACCTCAAGAGAGTTCTCATATCCATAAATCCCATAGATCTTCATATTATCAGCCTACAATTTGACTTCGATGTATTTAGACGTGATGGTATAGTCGTCCTCGCCCCACTAGTCGGTCGGTGGACGAATTCAAATTTGAATTGGAGCGGGCCAAAATACGAGCATACCGGCAAGAGACAACGCTCAGCAATTACAAAAACTCAATGTAGGTCAAAAACTTTTGAGCAACGGTGAAGAGAAACGCAAAGTGAATGCGTGAATTTGAACGAAGAGCTAAGGTGCCGTGCTCTATTGCGACCTGCCTGCTCCAGTTCGAATTCGAATTCGTCCACCGACCGACTATTTATTTATTTATTTATTTATTTAATACGCACAAGGCGCGCCCATACAACAGAAGAACGAAGCATCACACCAAACAACCAACAACAAAAAAAAATAAAACAAAAAGGCAAACTCCACACTGAATCAGTTCAAGTCCAGTCCGCAAAAACCTTTCTGGGAATGGAAAGGGAGTAAGCTTGTTTGGACATATATGAAGTCATCACAGGTATAGAGGTTCAATGGAGTCTGTCTCATGCCCCCTGCTCTTAGCAAAAAATGCTTTTACTCAACATAAGAAATTGTATATGTTGGAAGCAGGTGTATTGGTAGTAATATTGATAAAACCCGCCCAAGCAGGTGTATTGCTGGTAATATTGATAAAACCCGCCCAAGCAGGTGTATTGCTGGTAATATTGATAAAACCGGCTAGTGGGGTGAGGACGACTATAGCAATTGTTAAATCAACTCTTCAAGGCAGAAGTAACGAGAACGTAACATTCTCAGACAATCGATCGGACCCCTCCGCCGGACAGTCGAAATCTGCCAGAGTCGCGCCGGACCCAGTTGACCAATGAGAGCGGGGCGATTGGGCGGTCCCTTCTTGTAGGTCGCGGTGACATCACCGGCAGGCGAGTGGGATCCTTCTCCGGATCTGCTGCAAAGGTACGCCATTTCTGCTCCGGAGGTACGCCAGATTTGGCAGAGCCGCGGAGCGGAGAAAATCGGAAGGGTCCGGCACAGAAAATCGGACCCCTCCGGCACAGATTTTCGGAGCCCTCCGGCACTGAAAATCGGACCCCTCCAGCACTGAAAATCGGACCCCTCCGGCGGGGTACGCAATCAATTTGCTGTGATAAGCAGCTTAGCATTTTCGAAAATAAGCTGCCATCGCTCTCGTCTTACTCTTTTTCTCTTTTATTGTCGTTCTTTCGCGCTCGTTTCTCTTTTTTTTGGTTTTTCGTGTTACTCGTCGGCGCGTTGGCGTAATTTGTTCATCTCCTTCTTTTCAGGTTTCAATTTTTAGGTTTTCGTGCGGATGCACTTAGTCACTCTTAATGTTTGGCTCTTTTCGACTTGCTGAGACATTGTTGACTATTGATGGAGTGGTATTTGTGATCAATTCTGGTTTTTGGAAACAAAAAGGTTAGTCTGTCGCATTCTTGCTAAATGTAGAGGTGGTTATTATCTCATTGTATTGATGGGGTTGTTCTCTATCTACAATGTCTCTTGTTCTCTATCTGCTTATGTGATAGAGGTAGCCTTGTACAGTGCTGGACAAAATTATACAGCCACTCTAGAAATTGTCGTAATTTTTGTTCTTGTCAATGAATCTGTCTGAAACTTTGCTGTATTGTGCGCATGTCAACCTACCATAACCCCTCAAAACGGCTTCCAGTCTTGTTGAGTTTGAACGGAGAAAAACGAAAAAAATCGAAAAAGCCCTCTTTGAAAGCTGGACAAAATTATACAGCCACCTGGTTTTTCTAATCACTATCGCATTCGTTGACTCTCCATTTTTTTGTACAATTACATCCCAAAATATGAAACATTTGTGACACTTACGGCCTGTCTTTTTACTCAAATAGAAGCAATCGCTGCATTTCTTGCTTTTAAAAGCATTAAAAGTCAATCTCCTTCAGCAAACAACTGCTTTAAAGAGTTTTCAAGCTCTTGTTCATTCCAAATGATAAACATTAAATCTACTGACCCTTCTGGATAGATGAGGTGAAGAGCGCTTTCGTAAACTCTGCGTAATCGCTGATTTTGACGAACAGACTCCAACCTCACCATAGGGTTGACGCACTTTTGCACCACGAAACTCGATTTTCAAGCGACAGAAAATACTGTAATGTAGCCATTACGACAGCCATGCAACAGTGAACTTGTGTGCTTGACTAGGAAAAAATTTCGGGATTGACCACTCTGGTGCAGCAGCGGTTCTCATCCACTGAATGTTGAGTGGAGCATCCCGCATTGTTATAGCTAACTCACATCACGAGATAAAACCGGAGACACTTGAAACTTCAACTTAGCTAATCTCATTCATCGGGTGAAATATGACATGAAACACAGACGGAAATAAAGAGATCTAGGGTTATATCGAATCTTCCGCTCGCAGTGAATTTTTGTGAAAAGTATTCCAGGTCTAAATCGCTACCGCATCATTAGAAAAAATCTGAAAGTTGTTGCGAAAGCTGTATCCCCATGTAGACAATGTGATAAATCAAGTTTTTGTGGACATTGCAAACTGAGTTTTGTGGTTTAAAAGCGTTTTAAGCCTATGTTGAGGTTGGAGTCTGTTCGTCAAAATCAGCGATTACGCAGAGTTTACGAAAGCGTTCTTCACCTCATCTATCCAGAAGGTTCAGTAGATTCCATGATTATCATTTGGAATGAACAAGAGCTTGTAAACTCTTTAAAGCAGTTGTTTGTTGAAGGAGATTCACTTTTAATGCTTTTAAAAGCAAGAAATGCAGCGATTGCTTCTATTCGAGTAGGAAGACAGGCCGTAAGTGTCGCAAATGTTTCATATTTTGGGATGTAATTGTACAAAAAAATTTGAGAGTCAACGATTGCGATAGTGATTAGAAAAACCAGGTGGCTGTATAATTTTGTCCAGCTTTCAAAGAGGGCTTTTTCGATTTTTTTCGTTTTTCTCCGTCCAAACTCAACAAGACTGGAAGCCGTTTTGAGGGGTTATAGTAGGTTGACATGCGCACAATACAGCAAAGTCTCAGACAGATTCATTGACAAGAACAAAAATTACGACGATTTCTAGAGTGGCTGTATAATTATGTCCAGCACTGTAGCATTTGGACACTTTATGTATCTGGTCAATCTGTGTACAGCGTGATCCATATTCTTTTGGAGTTGATCCCATCTGGAACATTGCCGGTAATCGCCTATCATTTTCGAACTCTATGAAGATGAAAATATCTGTGATCATGATCGCCAATTGGCGTTTTGCACATGACTTTCGGCTTGTTTCTCTCGCTTCTGAATCATATGTGGGTATCTTGGGTTGTCGTTTTCCTTCGTGTCAATGTTATAATATGTGATTTAGGTTTTACGACTCGAAGGTGGATATACTCACGAATTTTATTCCGCAAATATTGTTCCTCGGCTGCATTTTCATCTATCTTTGTGGACAGATGGTTGTCAAGTGGTTCTTTTTCGTTGAAAAGGGCGTCGTGCTAGGAATGCAATATCCCGGTATGCAGCTTTTTACCGAATTACATTAAATAATGTCAGAATGTCAAAAAATGATGATGTCAAAAAAATCTAGGTCCAAATTGTGCACCATCGCTGATTATTGGTTTAATCAACATGTTTATGTTGAAAGAAAGGCCAGTGGGCCATTTGATGGAGCATGGAGCACAACAGTACAGTTGTTCATCCTACATGCTATCTGAACCAGTGATATCCGTGCTTTACAGGATGATTCGGAACATTTGATTGCTATTGATCGTTATCTACGTGAACACTCATTAAGTGATGCTTTCGTGCACCAAGCTATTCATGCGATCGAATTTGTTCTTGATTGTGTGTCACACACGGCATCATATCTTCGATTATGGGCGCTAAGTCTTGCACAGGCTCGTGAGTTATTCTCTGACTGATTAGGTTTTGTTATCTGAAGCGAGTGTCATCCAAGCCAAGTAGACAGTTAACTCATTCTCTAGAATTTTCTCTTCTTTTCCATGCATCGCAGTACTCCTGACTTCTTTTGATGATTTTTTGTCGAAGTGATCTGAAGGACATTTCTGTCGCGGTTTTTCATTCGTTCTAGCAGCTTTTTAAGAAGTGATTAGGAGAATTGTGTTGTAAGGAATTCTTGCTAGGACTACCAATAGAGCGTCGTTAGCTCGGTTGATAGAGCGTTAGACTTTTGATCTAATGGTCAGGGGTTCGAGTCCCCTACGGGGCTAACTTTTTGCAGCACTTCAGAACTACTGCGGTTTTTCTGGAATGTTCTTGATTTTTTATAAGTCTGTGGATTTCATTACATTTCATTACATTTGAAATAAATGTTTCGTCTTGTCTTCATTCTTCTATTTTCTATCTACAAACGCTAAGGGTGAGAGGGAGAGGGTAGAGTACGGGGGTGAGGGTCGCGCTGAAGTCCTACCCGGGGGGGGGGGGGGGGAAGGGTCGTATTCGGCTATTTGGGTGGGGTTTAAAGACATAATTGGGGTTTGGAGCTTATTTAGGGTTAGTTACAGTATGCCGCGGCAGACTTGCGGAGCACAAAATCGGGGGCTCCGGCGCACAAAATGGGAGGGGTCCGACGCACAAAATCGGGGGGCTCCGGCGCACAAAATCGGGGGGCTCCGGAGCAGAAATGGGAGGTCTCCGGCGCACAAAATCGGGGGCTCCGGAGCATGAGTGGCAGACACCCCGCTGGGGAAACCCCGCGGCCCTGCCATTTCTCTGCCGGAGGGGTCCGATCCGCTGTCTGAGTTCGTTGTGGTCTCCACTGGTGCACATGTGCCTTTCGAGCGGCAATGAGCAAATCAACGTCAGATGCTATATTGAGATACTACAATTTTATTTGAAGTTTAGCATATTGACTTTATCAAACGTCTTTGATAGGTCATGACATCAACAAAGTTTACTGTTCAGGCCAACGCCCATTCAAATGCAACCTCGACTGAATAAGTAGATGGAGACTTCCCGGGAATAATGCTTTCCATAAACATGGACCCGGCTCTTTGTAATTTTTTTTTGATTTTACTCAAATCATTGTTACGATATGCAGATGCATATGCAGATGCATATCGTAACAATTTGATTCATGATCAAATTCAAAAAAAGATTACAAAGAGCCGGGTCGCCAAATTCGTTACAAATCCATTCATGCCCGCTTCAATATAGCCTCCTAAAAAAATCAGGTGCAATCCTTTTTGATCGCAAAGAGCGAGTCGCAAAAGGATCCAAGCGAGAGTGTGATATGAATTTACGTTAACTGTTCCGTTGCAATGGAATTTTGTTAGTGCATCATTTTGCGTATTATCTTGGAACTCCAGCATTTGTAGAGACGGGAGGGGTGGTTGATTCTCGATTTTTTTTGCTTTTTTGCTTCCTAGCAGTCGAATTAAAAGCACAGAGAGTCAAAATCTGATAATTTGTTCCAGCAACGCTGAAAAATCGCCTTTGTTAGCCTTTTCCAAACTTACAAGAACACACAAGAGTTTCGTTAGAACCTTCATGGTACTCTTCCCGACACTTTTCTTCAAAAAAGAGAAGAGTTGATTCTTGTTTATACCAAAGGTCACACCTTCACATGAAGCAGTGTCAACATCCTGCCACATCTAGAAAAAATTGACATAATCTATTATGGTAACAGGTTTTACCAAGCCTACCTACCAATATAAGTTCAATCTCTCTTTAAATTAATAATGACCCCGTTTTTATTGAACACTTTCAAAGTAAACGTCAACGTTACAAGATTACATTCTATGTTTAATGAACACAGTAAATTTGCCTCAAACTGAGAAGTGAGCAATTGCTATATATACCTGTTTCTTATTTAGAAGACACCAGATAATTAAATCATTGTTTAAAGCTACTGAGATGTTTTAATAAGCATTTTGCATTGCTCCTTGCTCCGCTTTCATAAGAAAAAACTGAACAGTTTGGTCACTTTAAATGCTCTAGTAAACCACCGAAATGATTTGAGAAAACATGTGAACTGAGCTCATAATGTTAATTTTCACACGAGACGTGGTGGCACGTGATCTAGGAAAAGAATCTTTCATGCCAAAGCACACATTTTATGAAAACATTACGAAAGAATTAGAGAAATTCAAAGTACTATTGACTTTTTTCAAATAATGCAACAACATTCATGAGTAGCCCCCTCCTAGACTATGCAAATAAGTTTTGGAATTTCAGAAAACTGTTGTAATTTAATTTAAAAAAAACCAGAAACTGTGCTTATTGTAGACCTTCCCTCGCGCACAAAAAATTCTGGTCTACCTCGCTAAGCGATCTTTTTATCGTTGGCGATGTTGTCAGTGCCCTAATCGCCTCATAATGTACAGAATAATAATGTTCTGGAATTTCCTTAAAGGCAGTAGCCCGGCAAATCCTCAAAGCACCTATTTTTTCTTAACGGGTAGGACAAGCACATTATGCACATTGCTCTTGTACAGAGAAGTTTTATGCGTTTCCCCACAAAGAGGAGTCAGGCATAAATAAGAAAAAAGGATACGAAGGGATCAATTGCCTTTTGCGAGTTTATATAGTGTAGTTCGAAGAATTATGGAAAAACTGGCTATCAATAAAAAGTGGTTCTTTTCCGTTATTCGGACCCATTTTCAAGGAGTTGTCATAGAATATTGGCTTTGAACTGAATGACATTTTCATATATTCTATACGGCTGTCTTCGTGATAGATTTAGCAATAATTCAAAATTATCTTCACTTTTATGGCAGCCAGAAAAGTGCATGATGTTTTTTCATATTGCGAAATTGATGGGTGAATATTGTTAAAAAAACCGATAAACTCATATTGGCGGTAGGCGATTCCAAAATTTTGTTAACCTTTGAACATGTGAATATATCATTTTTTTTCGACAAATGGACGCATTTCTTTTGTGCTGATTTAGTCAGAAAAGTATGAACATGATGTGTTTTTACTTCCAATATTGTTAAATTGGTGGGTAAATATTGTTCAAAAAACCGATAAACTCTTGTTGCAGTAAGAGACGTCAAAAGTGTGTTAACTTTTGAACATATAAAAAATATCCTTTTTTTCTCGACATGTGGCAGGGTGTGCGCAGCTAGTGATACCCGAGAAGGCGACTGCTGACTGGTATGAAAAATCGAAGGTGCGTCTTGTACTCGGAAAATTAGGTAATCGTTCGTAGATTTTTGTAGATTTTCCGCTCGTACTTTGTATTCGATTACATGGTTTCAATAACATAAGATTTCTTCGCTGTTTGAAATGATAAAGATATCGAGGATATCACTCTACTTCTGAGGCTGATTAGTACCTCAGTGCGACGAAGTGCGAGAGAACCTCCTGCGAGAGTTTCGAACGACGGGCTTACCGTCACCTGCACTGCATAAAAACCCACCCCCTTCAGTAGACTGGAACAATGCCAACATTCACTGAATACGTCGCAAGAAAAAAGGGAATTTTCTATTTGGAAAAAAATGGATCCGGGTAACGAAAAGTACCAAGAAATTGCAAAATTACTCCCCCTTAAACACAACACCAACTTTTGTACAAAGCATCAAGCCAAATGCTCATACCGGTAAATGACACTAATACTTATTGAATCTTTTTTTACCTCTGCCGCCCATAATCATAATCACATTCTAAGCACAAAAAGAAACTGACAAACAAACTGAGAAACAACATGATGCCATTCTTCGATTTGATGTGGCGAGCTCAGAAAAGAGCACACATGATTGCATTGTATTGAACGATTCGACTCCTGCTAAATGTTATGACTTCTTCACCTTCCATTGGGAAATTGTTATCGCACTGGACTTGCAGATCAATAGTCCGATTCGCCTGAAACCGTCAATTCACCTTACGGCACACATAAAGTTGCACACATGTGCGGTCAGCTCGTACAATCCTACCAATCAGGGCTCGCCACGAGGTGGCTAGATGAAAATGCAAAAAACGAAGTCCCCCTTGACTTTTGGGTATTTTTACGAAGTCCCCTTTGACCCCCACCATATTCCCTAAAAATCCACCAAAAAACGTAACGTCGACTAAAAAAAACGTCGCCAAATCGGCAATTTTGCTTGCCTCTTCGGTCACAAAAACGAAACCCCCTTTGCTTTTCGTCTCAAAAACGATATCCAGCTTGCTTGTAAGCCACCTCGTGCCGAGCCCTGCTACCAATACACACTTGGTGCGTATGCAACGCTCAATTTATGAATACTCCAAACTATCCTTACTATATGGCAAAAAATAGGGAACTCCGAACAGCGACACTGAATTTTGCGCGCAGAGAGTGGAGAACTCTGGAGGTTTGTGGTTTTCTTCGATAGAGTAAATTTTTTAGCACTGTTGGAAAGTAGCTTTTGTGGAACGTATGCCGTTCTCTCAAACATGATTTGGACAGCATATCATTCAAAATGCTTTCACACTACGCCACAATATTGTCTCGCGCCACATTTTGATCCAAGAGTGCGTTGACATTCATGTTGGCTTCTACTGTTAAGACTGAGCGTGCATGCGCGGGACTCGTTCACCCAATGACTTGCCGCACGTAGTTTCATGAATTAACATCATAGTATTGGCACCTATACAATCCACAATCAACGTCTACAACAAGCGTGGCCCCATTCAGAGACGCTCTGTCACCGCGGCAGAGATCAGGGGAGACGCGGATAATAATAAAACTGGTTATAATGGAATCTTAATTCAAGGTTTGGTAGCGGTAATTGGCCATATAGAATGTATATTTTGTACATGAAAGTTCTCAAGGGTGC